GCCAGTGTGGTGTGCCAGTGTGGTGTGCCAGTGTGGAGTGCTAGTGTGGTGTGCCAGTGTGGTGTGCCAGTGTGGTGTGCCAGTGTGATGTGCCAGTGGTGGTGTGCCAGTGTGGTGTACCAGTGTGGAGTGCTAGTGTGGTGTGCCAGTGTGGTGTGCCAGTGTGGTGTGCCAGTGGTGGTGTGCCAGTGTGGTGTGCTGTGGTGTGCCAGTGTGGTTTGCCAGTGGTGGTGTGCCAGTGGTGGTGTGCAAGTGTGGTGTGGTATGGTGTGCAAGTGGTGATGTGCCAGTGTGGTGTGGTGTGCCAGTGTGGTGTGCTAGTGGTGGTGTGCCAGTGTGGTGTGTTATGCCAGTGGTTGTGTGCTAGTGGTGGTATGCCACTAGTGGTGTGCCAGTGGGGTGTGGTATGCCAGTGGTGGTGTGCCAGTGTGGTGTGCCAGTGGTTGTGTGCCAGTAGTCGTGTGCAAGTGTGGTGTGGTATGCCAGTGTGGTGTGGCAGTGTGGTGTGCCAGTGGTTGTGTGCCAGTAGTCGTGTGCAAGTGTGGTGTGCCAGTGGTGGTGTGCCAGTGGTGGTGTGCCAGTGGTGGGGTGGCAGTGGTGGTGTGCCAGTGTGGTGTGCTAGTGTGGTGTGGTATGCCAGTGGTGGTGTGCCAGTGTGGTGTGCTAGTTTGGTGTGGTATGCCAGTGGTGGTGTGCGAGTGGTGGTGTGCTAGTGTGGTGTTGTATGCCAGTGGTGGTGTGCCAGTGGTGGTGTGCTAGTGTGGTGTGGTATGCCAGTGGTGGTGTGCTCGTGTGGTGTTGTAAGCCAATGGTGGTGTGCTAGTGTGGTGTGCCAGTGTGGTGTGTCAGTGGTGGTGTGCCAGTGTGGTGTACCAGTGGTGGTGTGCCAGTGTGGTGTGGCAGTGTGGTGTGCCAGTGTGGTGTGGCAGTGTGGTGTGGCAATGTGGTGTGCCAGAGGTTGTGTGCCAGTGGTGGTGTGCCAGTGGTGGGGTGGCAGTGGTGGTGTGGCAGTGTGGTGTGGCAGTGGTAGGGTTGCAGTGGTGGTGTGGCAGTGTGGTGTGGCAATGTGGTGTGCCAGTGGTTGTGTGCCAGTGTGGTGTGCCAGTGTGGTGTGCCTGTGGTGAGGTGGCAGTGGTGGTGTGGTGTGCCAGTGTGGTGTGCCTGTGGTAGGGTGGCAGTGTGATGTGCCAGTGTGGTGTGCCTGTGGTAGGGTGGCAGTGTGGTGTGGTAAGCCAGTGGTGGTGTGCTAGTGTGGTGTGCCAGTGTGGTGTGCCAGTGTGGTGTGCCAGTGTGGAGTGCTAGTGTGGTGTGCCAGTGTGGTGTGCCAGTGTGGTGTGCCAGTGTGATGTGCCAGTGGTGGTGTGCTAGTGTGGTGTGCCACTGGTGGAGTGCTAGTGTGGTGTGCCAGTGTGGTGAGCCAGTGTGGTGTGCCAGTGTGGTGTGGCAGTGTGGTGTGCCAGTGGTGGTGTGCTAGTGTGGTGTGCCAGTGTGGTGTGGCAGTGTGGTGTGCCAGTGGTGGTGTGCTAGTGTGGTGTGGCAGTGTGGTGTGGCAGTGTGGTGTGCCAGTGTGGTGTGCCAGTGTGATGTGCCAGTGGTGGTGTGCCAGTGTGGTGTGCCAGTGTGGAGTGCTAGTGTGGTGTGCCAGTGTGGTGTGCCAGTGTGTTGTGCCAGTGGTGGTGTGCCAGTGTGGTGTGCTGTGGTGTGCCAGTGTGGTGTGCCAGTGGTGGTGTGCCAGTGGTGGTGTGCAAGTGTGGTGTGGTATGGTGTGCAAGTGGTGATGTGCCAGTGTGGTGTGGTGTGCCAGTGGTGGTGTGCCAGTGGTGGTGTGCTAGTGTGGTGTTGTATGCCAGTGGTGGTGTGCCAGTGGTGGTGTGTTAGTGTGTAGTGGTATGTCAGTGGTGGTGTGCCAGTGGTGGTGTGCCAGTGGTGGTGTGCTAGTGTGTAGTGGTATGTCAGTGGTGGTGTGCCAGTGGTGGTGTGCTAGTGTGGTGTGGCATGCCAGTGGTGGTGTGCTCGTGTGGTGTTGTAAGCCAATGGTGGTGTGCTAGTGTGGTGTGCCAGTGTGGTGTGCCAGTGTGGTGTGTCAGTGGTGGTGTGCCAGTGTGGTGTGCCAGTGGTTGTGTGCCAGTAGTCGTGTGCAAGTGTGGTGTGCCAGTGGTGGTGTGCCAGTGGTGGTGTGCCAGTGGTGGGGTGGCAGTGGTGGTGTGGTGTGCCAGTAGTTGTATGCCAGTGGTGGTGTGCCAGTGGTGGGGTGGCAGTGGTGGTGTGGTGTGCCAGTGGTGGTGTGCCAGTGGTGGTGTGGCAGTGTGGTGTGGCAGTGTGGTGTGGCAATGTGGTGTGCCAGTGGTTGTGTGCCAGTGGTGGTGTGCCAGTGGTGGGGTGGCAGTGGTGGTGTGGCAGTGTGGTGTGGCAGTGGTAGGGTTGCAGTGGTGGTGTGGCAGTGTGGTGTGGCAATGTGGTGTGCCAGTGGTTGTGTGCCAGTGGTGGTGTGCCAGTGGTGAGGTGGCAGTGGTGGTGTGGTGTGCCAGTGTGATGTGCCTGTGGTAGGGTGGCAGTGGTGGTGTGGCAGTGTGGTGTGGCAGTGGTAGGGTTCCAGTGGTGGTGTGGCAGTGTGGTGTGGCATTGTGGTGTGGCAGTGTGGTGTGCCAGTGATGGTGTCCCAGATGTGTTCTGGCAGTGGTTGTGTGCCAGTGGTGGTGTGCCAGTGTGGCGTGGCAGTGTGGTGTGGCAGTGGCAGTGGTTGTGTGCCAGTGTGGCGTGGCAGTGTGGTGTGGCATTGTTGTGTGCTAGTGGTTGTGTGCCAGTGGTTGTGTGCCAGTAGTGGTGTGCCAGTGTGGTGTGCCAGTGGTGGTGTGCCAGTGGTGGGGTGGCAGTGGCAGTGGTTGTGTGCCAGTGTGGTGTGGTGTGCCAGTGTGTTATGGTGTGCCAGTGTCATGTGGTATGCCAGTGAGGTGTGCCAGTGGTTGTGTGGCAGTGGTTGTGTGACAGTGTGGTGTGCCAGTGTGGTGTGGTGTGCCAGTGTGGTGTGCCAGTGTGGTGTGCCAGTGGTGGTGTGCCAGTGGTGGTGTGCCAGTGTGGTGTGCCAGTGTGGTGTGGTGTGCCAGTGTGTTGTGCCAGTGTGGTGTGCCAGTGGTGGCGTGCCAGTGTGGTGTGCTAGTGGTGGTGTGCCAGTGTGGTGTTCTAGTGTGGTGTGCTATGCCAATGGTGGTGTGCTAGTGTGATGTGCTAGTGTGGTGTGCCAGTGTGGTGTGCCAGTGTGGTGTGTCAGTGTGGTGTGCCAGTGTGGTGTGCCAGTGTGTTGTGGCATTATGGTGTGCCAGTGGTTGTGTGCCAGTGGTGGTGTGCCAGTGTGGTGTGCCAGTGGTGGTGTGCCAGTGTGGTGTGCCAGTGTGGTATGCCAGTGTGGTGTGCCAGTGTGGTGTGCCAGTGGTGGTGTGGCAGTGGTTGTGTGACAGTGTGGTGTGCCAGTGTGGTGTGGTGTGCCAGTGTGGTGTGGTGTGCCAGTGTGGTGTGGTGTGCCAGTGTGGTGTGGTGTGCCAGTGTGGTGTGGTGTGCCAGTGTCATGTGGTTTACCAGTTGTGTGGTGTGCCAGTGTGGTGTGGTTTGTCAGTGGTGGTGTGGTGTGGCAGTGGTGGTGTGTTAGTGGTGGTGTGCCAGTGTGGTGTGGTATGCCAGTGGTGTTGTGCTAGTGTGGTGTGCCAGTGTAGTGTGCTAGTGGTGGTGTGCCAGTGGTGGTGTGCCAGTGTGGTGTTCTAGTGTGGTGTGGTATGCCAATGGTGGTGTGCTAGTGTGATGTGCTAGTGTGGTGTGCCAGTGTGGTGTGCCAGTGTGGTGTGTCAGTGTGGTGTGCCAGTGTGGTGTGCCAGTGTGGTGTGGCATTATGGTGTGCCAGTGGTTGTGTGCCAGTGGTGGTGTGCCAGTGTGGTGTGCCAGTGGTGGTGTGCCAATGGTGGGGTGGCAGTGGTGGTGTGGTGTGCGAGTGTGGTGTGGCAGTGGTGGTGTGCCAGTGGTAGGGTTGCAGTGGTTGTGTGGTGTGGCAGTGGTTGTGTGGTGTGCCAGTGGTGGTGTGCAAGTGGTGGGGTGGCAGTGGTGGTGTGGTGTGCCAGTGTGGTGTGCCAGTGTGGTGTGCCAGTGGTAGGGTGGCAGTGGTGGTGTGGCAGTGTGGTGTGGCAGTGTTGTGTGCCAGTGGTGGTGTGCCAGTGGTGGTCTGGCAGTGGTGGTGTGCCAGTGGTGGTGTGCCAGTGGTGGTGTGCCAGTGTGGTGTGACAGTGGTGGTGTGCCAGTGGTGGTGTGCCAGTGTGGTGTGGCAGTGTGGTGTGCCAGTGTGATGTGGCAGTGTGATGTGGCAGTGTGGTGTGGCAGTGTGGTGTGCCAGTGGTGGTGTGCCAGTGGTGGTCTGGCAGTGGTTGTGTGCCAGTGGTGGTGTGCCAGTGTGGTGTGACAGTGGTGGTGTGCCAGTGGTGGTCTGGCAGTGGTTGTGTGCCAGTGGTGGTGTGCCAGTGTGGTGTGACAGTGGTGGTGTGCCAGTGGTGGGGTGGCACTGCAGGTGTGGTGTGCCAGTGTGGTGTGCCAGTGTGGTGTGGCAGTGTGGTGTGGCAGTGTGGAGTGCTAGTGTTGTGTGCCAGTTTGGTGTGCCAGTGTGGTGTGCCAGTGTGGTGTGCCAGTGTGGTGTGACAGTGTGGTGTGACAGTGGTGGTTTGGCAGTGGTTGTGTGCCAGTGGTGGTGTGCCAGTGTGGTGTGACAGTGGTGGTGTGCCAGTGGTGGTTTGGCAGTGGTTGTGTGCTAGTGGTGGTGTGCCAGTGTGGTGTGCCAGTGTGGTGTGCCAGTGTGGTGTGCCAGTGTGGTGTGGCAGTGTGTTATGGTGTTATGTGGTGTGGTGGCATGGTGGCGTGTAGGTGTGGTGTCGTTATGTGGTTGTGTGGTGTGGTTGTGTGGTGTGGCAGTGTTGTGATGTAGTGTGGTATGGCAGTGTGGTGGTGGTGGTGGTGGTGTTACTTACCATGTCAATCTTAGTGATGTCCTGCTTGGTCCAGTAGACGTCCACCTGGGACGAGTCTCCACCCTTCTCTGTCACCTCCAGCGTGGCACTCTCCTCCTGGATAAAACACAACACATGTACACATTGTAAACAAATACATACAATGTATATATATAACCTCCAATACAGCATACATAAGTCTTCCCATGCGTTATCAACTGTTGTGTATCATTATTTGTCAAATATTTATCCTTTAATATTATTGGATAATGTTTGGGATATATACGTCTTCAGTTTTGTAGTTTCAAATACTTTTTACAATTTGATTTATGTCTTTTACAGTCTTCAGTTTGAGTACTTCATCTGACTGAAGTCAAACTGTGTTTCTATAGTTTCCTGCACCTGTAAAGATACAAATAATAACTGTGTTTTAAGGTACATGTCCATCAGAGACTTAGCTTGATGGGTGGTAAAACAAAACTAGATTTTTGAACTCTAAATCTTGATGGCTTATTAAGGATGTGATGGGCCATGAGTGAACTGATGTGTGGGTCTGTGTTCAGTCTCACCTCCACCAGCTGCCCAGACTTGAGTGTGTAAGGTGAGTCCTCATCCACCACGTAGCCGATAGTCTCTATAACATCTTCGATGTGATAGACCTGTAATGATGGAAACAGAAACAGTTGCTAGATAATCCAGTTGGGGATTTACTCTCTGTGATGAAAGTTCAAACTAACTTTAACTTCAGTCGATGTTCTCAGATTGGCATAATAACATCTATATGTTGATGCCATGATGCCAACACTTGTTATAATGCTAACTGTGGTTATAATGCTAACTGTGGTTATAATGCTAACTGTGGTTATAATGCTAAACTGTGGTTATAATGCTAAACTGTGGTTATAATGCTAAACTGTGGTTATAATGCTAACTGTGGTTATAATGCTAACTGTGGTTATAATCATGATAATGCTAAACTGTGGTTATAATGCTAACTGTGGTTATAATGCTAACTGTGGTTATAATGCTAACTGTGGTTATAATCATGATAATGCTAAACTGTGGTTATAATGCTAAACTGTGGTTATAATGCTAACTGTGGTTAAAATGCTAAACATGGTTATAATGCGAACTGTGGTTATCATGCTAAACATGGTTATAATGCTAACTGTGGTTATCATGCTAAACATGGTTATAATGCTAACTGTGGTTATCATGCTAAACATGGTTATAATGCTAAACATGGTTATAATGCTAACTGTGGTTATCATGCTAAACATGGTTATAATGCTAACTGTGGTTATAATGCTAAACCGTGGTTATAATGCTAAACATGGTTATAATGCTAACTGTGGTTATCATGCTAAACATGGTTATAATGCTAAACTGTGGTTATAATGCTACTGTGGTTATAATGCTAACTGTGGTTATAATGCTACTGTGGTTATAATGCTACTGTGGTTATAATGCTAACTGTGGTTATAATGCTAACTGCGGTTATAATGCTAACTGTGGTTATAATGCTAAACATGGTTATAATGCTAACTGTGGTTATAATGCTAAACATGGTTATAATGCTACTGTGGTTATAATGCTAAACTGTGGTTATAATGCTAAACATGGTTATAATGCTAACTGTGGTTATAATGCTAACTATGGTTATAATGCTAAACATGGTTATAATGCTAACTGTGGTTATAATGCTAAACATGGTTATAATGCTAACTGTGGTTATAATGCTAAACATGGTTATAATGCTACTGTGGTTATAATGCTAAACTGTGGTTATAATGCTAAACATGGTTATAATGCTAACTGTGGTTATAATGCTAACTATGGTTATAATGCTAAACATGGTTATAATGCTAACTGTGGTTATAATGCTAAACTGTGGTTATAATGCTAAACATGGTTATAATGCTAACTGTGGTTATCATGCTAAACATGGTTATAATGCTAACTGTGGTTATAATGCTAACTGTGGTTATAATGCTACTGTGGTTATAATGCTAACTGTGGTTATAATGCTAAACATGGTTATAATTCTAAATGTGGTTATCATGCTAACTGTGGTTATAATGCTACTGTGGTTATAATGCTAAATGCGGTTATCATGCTAAACGTGGTTATCATGCTCAATGTGGTTGTAATGCTACTGTGGTTATAATGCTAAACATGGTTATAATGCTTACTGTGGTTATAATGCTAAACATGGTTATAATGCTAAACATGGTTATAATGCTAACTGTGGTTATCATGCTAAACATGGTTATAATACTAACTGTGGTTATAATGCTAACTGTGGTTATAATGCTACTGTGGTTATAATGCTAACTGTGGTTATAATGCTAAACATGGTTATAATGCTAAATGTGGTTATCATGCTAAATGTGGTTATAATGCTACTGTGGTTATAATGCTAAATGTGGTTATCATGCTAAACATGGTTATAAGGCTAAACATGGTTATAATGCTAACTGTGGTTATCATGCTAAATGTGGTTATAATGCTTAATGTTGTTATAATGCTAAATGTGGATATAATGCTAAACATGGTTATAATGCTAAACATGGTTATAATGCTAAATGTAGTTATAATGCTGAACTTTCTCATAATGCTAACTGTGGTATAACTTTGTAACTGAATGACAAGACACTTCTGATAGCCTCTCGGGCATGGGTGGCCCAGTCAACTATGGCGCTGCAATTCGCTGTGCAGAGTTGCGTCCCTAAGGCAAGCCAGAAACCTGTGATTGTGGGTTCGAATCCCGGTTTGCCCCAATTATGTTTCTGGATTTGTCAGCCCCATACCCGTGCTCGTGGGTTTCACCGAAGTGGTAAACGTCTGAGACCTGCATCACTTCCGGCTTTCGTCCCACATCAAACTGCAAGCCGTGATATAACTGGACTAATGTTGAAAGTGGTGTTACACTTAACTCACTCACTCACTCTGAGAGCCACTGATAACTCTGCCTTTTTTAGTATTCAATATGGTTGCAACAAATATTGTGTGAGGGGGGGTGTCGTACCTGCACTGGGAACGTCCGGCCAGGAATGTTAATGACTGGACAGTGGCTGAAGTAGGCTGAGAATTTCTCACTGTCCAAGGTCGCACTCATCAGTATCACCTTGAGATCTCTCCTCTGACTCAGAATCTCCTTGACAACAATCATCAGGAAATCGGACTGGACACTTCTCTCATGAACCTGAACATTTTGATTGAGAGAAGTAAAATATTCACACGTCGATGATAACATAGAGACTAAGGGACGAACCACTTGATACTGAGTTGTGAATTTCTTTTCAAGTGTATTTGTTTGGGGTACTCACTGTAAAACCTATTTTTGTCTATCATTTTCAAGAATAAGTTATATTTAAAAAAAACCAAACCAAGGCCTCACCAGAATGACCAATTGTCAATCCTTAACAATGGTCAAATCAATCGTTTTTCACAGTAAACACCTAGCTTTGATTTTAACATAAAAAATAACAAAATCAGACCATTCTTGGTGTTCCCTGTAGTGGTAGTGGAACTCAACAAAACACTTTGATCGCCTGTTTTAATGCTTCTAAAACTTTAACAATTGTAAATATTTTCTTCACAAATTGACACTGAACTCTCTAAAAATACTCATATGTTTCATGTGGTCTTATGTATGACATGCCTGACAGCCCAGTTGCATCACAGTGTTTACCTCATCAATAATAATATGTGTGACATGTGACATCAGTGGATCCTGCTGCAGTTGTCGTAGCAACACCCCAGTAGTGCAGTAGGTGAGTTTTGTGTTGGGCCCTTTCTTGGACTCGAAGCGTATCTGATAGCCGCAGAGAGAGTGTTTCTGTCCAGGCCCCCCCTCACCCAGCTCCTCGGACACCCGCTTGGCCAGACTCACGGCGGATATGCGACGGGGCTGGGTGCACACTACATTGCACTGCAATCCCGCACCAGACAGTATTGCATCCTGAAAATGACATTAAATGTTGTTAACACTTTGGTGGAATTGTATTCAATTCTCTATTTACTTGAAAGCTCCCTTGGCATCGGTTTGTGTAGACATACAACTTTTTGTGCCATGGCACTGTAGTTCACCAGCTAGAATGTCCACTGTTTACAATGTCCCAAAGACACTGAAACATGTCGTCGGCATTGATATTCAAATATTTTCCAATCTCATAAAAGCTACCACTACACAAAGACCTGAGGACATCCAAAAACAGGTCACATCAGAACAACCTTTTGCGAAATTTGACTTCTCATTATATTCTTAGGAACACAACAATACAAATCACAAGTTTCAATTCATATTTACTACAGAGATTTTCTGCAAAGTCCCACTTTCAGACTTATAACTGTTTATGTAATGATTGCAGTTTTTAGATATAATGTCAGATTAATTAAACACAGACACAAATGCTGAAATGTTTTGAAATTTTTTTTTACTACAATGTGAATTAATGGGAGAAAAATAAGAAATATTTGCACAGTCCTCACACATGGCAATTTGACATTAGTTTGAAGTAAGTTCTCTTTATGACGTCACAGCACAATTGTATCCTAGCACCCATAAGGTCCCTTTTCTCCAGGTGGGTCACTTATATTAAAACCCAAGCATAAAGCATATAGAAACAAAAGCCACAGTTTGTACAAAAAGGACTGAGTAATGGCCATAAATATATTAACAATGTGTCTGCTGTGATATACCGGTACATACTGAAAATCAGATTTGACCATCTTGAACAAATGTAAGTTTCATCATTGGAAGGGGACAAGAATGGGCAGCTTCATTTCATTGGTCCAGTGGTTCCAAGGAGAGGCTGTTTAGAGTTCACAGAAATGCATGCATTTTGAGAGACATTAGGAGCATAGTCAAAGTACAAAGGTCAAACAAAGATCAAAATCTAAAACACTGTGTAAAATAGAACATATGTGTTGAGCTCCATCACTAACTTCATCAAGTTACATTTTGAACAAAAATGATTGAGTTTTACTCAGTAATAGCCATATACATTTTTCTTAAGATGGTTGCCATGGTGGCCATATTGAAAATCAGATATGAACCCTGTGGACAATCTTTGGTGTCATTATGTTTAGCCTGAACCTAGTTTAGCCTGCATCTATGTTAAGCCTGCATCTATGTTAAGCCTGCATCTATGTTAAGCCTGAACCTAGTTTAGCCTGCATCTATGTTAAGCCTGCATCTATGTTAAGCCTGCATCTATGTTAAGCCTGAACCTAGTTTAGCCTGCATCTATGTTAAGCCTCGAGTACTAGTCACCTATTCTATGACATCCATACAGGGATCATGATTCTGCAAAATGAGAAAAGGACCTCCAGACGAGAAGATGTGTCCTTACTTACTTCTAGGACAAACTGAGGTATCTGGGTACTCTTGCCACTTCCTGTTTCTCCAGCAACCACTACCACATTCTCTCTGTTGATCCTATCCATGACTTTATCCCTGTGCTGGAACACCGGCAACCTCTGCCTTGTGCCCAGCAGAGTCTTGTAGACGCGGGATGACAGCCTGTCCTTCATCAGCTGTATCAAGGCGCTGCTGTCAAGCCTCGAGGCGTGAGAAGATGTTGGTCTTTTGCTTGTATGTGGGCCCCAGTCATCCTGCATTCAAAAGCATACATTATGCCACCCAATGTTGAATGCCCTTGAAACCATCCATCCATAGATCAATTATGATTAGTATTATATACAAGAGTGTGACATATGTAGTTATATGAAAAGAATAAAAGTCATATTTCACAATCATTTAAAACAACCCCAGTATTTTCACCAGTGAATACAACTACTATTGAAGGTAACACGCTAAGTAATGATTGACATTTTTTCAGAATTTTCTAAATTCAAAATTTGATTGGAAAAAACATTGGATATATCATAAATTCATAATGAGCCGCTGTGGACAAGCCAGGCAAGTGTTGTTTTACTGCTGCCAGTGCAATGGTTTCTGTTGACGAACAAACTGCTCACCTCATCTGCAAGGTCTTCCCATGTCATTTCTTCATCATGTCTCTCGCTGACCTTCACTTTGGCAGGTGTGAGCTTCTTGTCCTCCATCTGGACTTTCTTCAGGAATCTGGCGATGAACTGATCTCGTGGCTGCCAGACAGGATCAGAAACAGAAAATAAGTATGAAGTATAACTTCTTACTTTGAACAACACCAGCTGGTACTTACTCTAAACAACACCAGCTGGTACTTACTCTGAACAACACAGCTGATACTTACTCTGAACAACACCAGCTGGTACTTACTCTGAACAACACAGCTGATACTTACTTTGAACAACACCAGATGGTACTTACTCTGAACAACACCAGCTGGTACTTACTCTGAACAACACCAGATGGTACTTACTCTGAACAACACCAGCTGGTACTTACTCTGAACAACACAGCTGATACTTACTTTGAACAACACCAGATGGTACTTACTCTGAACAACACCAGATGGTACTTACTCTGAACAACACCAGCTGGTACTTACTCTGAACAACACCAGCTGGTACTTACTCTGAACAACACAGCTGATACTTACTTTGAACAACACCAGATGGTACTTACTCTGAACAACACCAGCTGGTACTTACTCTGAACAACACAGCTGATACTTACTTTGAACAACACCAGATGGTACTTACTCTGAACAACACCAGATGGTACTTACTCTGAACAACACCAGCTGGTACTTACTCTGAACAACACCAGCTGGTACTTACTCTGAACACCACCAGCTGGTACTTACTCTGAACAACACCAGCTGGTACATACTCTGAATAACATCAGCTGGTACTTACTCTGAACAACACCAGCTGATACTTACTCTGAACAACACCAGCTGGTACTTACTCTGAACAACACCAGCTGGTACATACTCTGAATAACATCAGCTGGTACTTACTCTGAACAACACCAGCTGATACTTACTCTGAACAACACAGCTGGTACTTACTCTGAACAACACCAGCTGGTACTTACTCTGAACAACACCAGTTTGTACTTGCATTGAACAACACCAGCTGGTACTTGCATTGAACACACCAGCCGGTACTTACTCTTAAAGACACCAGCTGGTACTTACTCTGAACAACACCAGCTGGTACTTGCATTGAACAACACCAGCTGGTAAATACTCTGAACAACACCAGCTGGTACTTACTCTGAACAACACAGCTGATACTTACTCTGAACAACACCAGATGGTACTTACTCTGAACAACACCAGCTGGTACTTACTCTGAACAACACAGCTGATACTTACTCTGAACAACACCAGCTGGTACTTACTCTGAACAACACCAGCTGGTACTTACTCTGAACAACACAGCTGATACTTACTCTGAACAACACCAGATGGTACTTACTCTGAACAACACCAGCTGGTACTTACTCTGAACAACACCAGCTGGTACTTACTTTGAACAACACCAGCTGGTACTCTGAACAACACCAGCTGGTACTTACTCTGAACAACACCAGCTGGTACTTACTCTGAACAACACCAGATGGTACTTACTCTGAACAACACCAGATGGTACTTACTCTGAACAACACCAGCTGGTACTTACTCTGAACAACACCAGATGGTACTTACTCTGAACAACACCAGCTGGTACATACTCTGAACAACACCAGCTGGTACCTACTCTGAACAACACCAGGTGGTACTTACTCTGAACAACACCAGCTGGTACTTACTCTGAAAAACACCAGCTGGTACCTACTTTGAACAACACCAGCTGGTACTTACTCTGAACAACACCAGCTGGTACTTACTCTGAAAAACACCAGCTGGTACTTACTCTGAACAACACAGCTGATACTTACTCTGAACAACACCAGATGGTACTTACTCTGAACAACACCAGCTGGTACTTACTCTGAACAACACCAGCTGGTACTTACTCTGAACAACACAGCTGATACTTACTCTGAACAACACCAGCTGGTACCTACTCTGAACAACACCAGCTGGTACTTACTCTGAACAACACCAGATGGTACTTACTCTGAACAACACCAGATGGTACTTACTCTGAACAACACCAGCTGGTACTTACTCTGAACAACACCAGCTGGTACTTACTCTGAACAACACAGCTGATACTTACTTTGAACAACACCAGATGGTACTTACTCTGAACAACACCAGCTGGTACTTACTCTGAACAACACAGCTGATACTTACTTTGAACAACACCAGATGGTACTTACTCTGAACAACACCAGATGGTACTTACTCTGAACAACACCAGCTGGTACTTACTCTGAACAACACCAGCTGGTACTTACTCTGAACACCACCAGCTGGTACTTACTCTGAACAACACCAGCTGGTACATACTCTGAATAACATCAGCTGGTACTTACTCTGAACAACACCAGCTGATACTTACTCTGAACAACACCAGCTGGTACTTACTCTGAACAACACCAGCTGGTACATACTCTGAATAACATCAGCTGGTACTTACTCTGAACAACACCAGCTGATACTTACTCTGAACAACACAGCTGGTACTTACTCTGAACAACACCAGCTGGTACTTACTCTGAACAACACCAGTTTGTACTTGCATTGAACAACACCAGCTGGTACTTGCATTGAACACACCAGCCGGTACTTACTCTGAACGACACCAGCTGGTACTTACTCTGAACAACACCAGCTGGTACTTGCATTGAACAACACCAGCTGGTAAATACTCTGAACAACACCAGCTGGTACTTACTCTGAACAACACAGCTGATACTTACTCTGAACAACACCAGATGGTACTTACTCTGAACAACACCAGCTGGTACTTACTCTGAACAACACAGCTGATACTTACTCTGAACAACACCAGCTGGTACTTACTCTGAACAACACCAGCTGGTACTTACTCTGAACAACACAGCTGATACTTACTCTGAACAACACCAGATGGTACTTACTCTGAACAACACCAGCTGGTACTTACTCTGAACAACACCAGCTGGTACTTACTTTGAACAACACCAGCTGGTACTCTGAACAACACCAGCTGGTACTTACTCTGAACAACACCAGCTGGTACTTACTCTGAACAACACCAGATGGTACTTACTCTGAACAACACCAGATGGTACTTACTCTGAACAACACCAGCTGGTACTTACTCTGAACAACACCAGATGGTACTTACTCTGAACAACACCAGCTGGTACATACTCTGAACAACACCAGCTGGTACTTACTCTGAACAACACCAGGTGGTACTTACTCTGAACAACACCAGATGGTACTTACTCTGAAAAACACCAGCTGGTACCTACTTTGAACAACACCAGCTGGTACTTACTCTGAACAACACCAGATGGTACTTACTCTGAAAAACACCAGCTGGTACTTACTCTGAACAACACAGCTGATACTTACTCTGAACAACACCAGATGGTACTTACTCTGAACAACACCAGCTGGTACTTACTCTGAACAACACCAGCTGGTACTTACTCTGAACAACACAGCTGATACTTACTCTGAACAACACCAGCTGGTACCTACTCTGAACAACACCAGCTGGTACTTACTCTGAACAACACCAGCTGGTACTTACTCTGAACAACACAGCTGATACTTACTCTGAACAACACCAGCTGGTACTTACTCTGAACAACACCAGCTGGTACTTACTTTGAACAACACCAGCTGGTACTCTGAACAACACCAGCTGATACTTACTCTGAACAACACCAGCTGGTACTTACTCTGAACAACACCAGATGGTACTTACTCTGAACAACACCAGATGGTACTTACTTTGAACAACACCAGCTGGTACTTACTCTGAACAACACCAGCTGGTACTTACTCTGAACAACACCAGCTGGTACATACTCTGAACAACACCAGCTGGTACTTACTCTGAACAACACAGCTGATACTTACTCTGAACAACACCAGATGGTACTTACTCTGAACAACACCAGCTGGTACTTACTCTGAACAACACCAGATGGTACTTACTCTGAACAACACCAGCTGGTACTTACTCTGAACAACACCAGCTGGTACTTACTCTGAACAACACCAGCTGGTACTTACTCTGAACAACACCAGCTGGTACTTGCATTGAACACACCAGCTGGTACTTACTTTGTTTTCCTTCTCCTTGGCCTCCTGCTTGACGGCATTATCAGCGTCTCTCCACTCCAGCCACACATCTCTGTACGGCGGTGGCAACAACTGGTGGATTGGCTGGTGAATAAAACAAACATACAAAGGTAAATATTGCTCGAACATGATCAAATTTTTACAATGACAGTCTGTGTTATACAAGCCGTTGTTTGTTCTACCTGGACATAGGTAATACAGGCCAGTGAGAAGGGAGCTGATGTTTGCCCTTCCTGTCCGGGACACATGTGATACAAACCAGTGAGAGGGAAGTGGATATTGGCCCTACCTGTTCAGGACACATTTGATACAGGCCAGTGAGAAGGGAGCTGATATTTGCCCTATGTGTCCGGGACACATGTGATACAAACCAGTGAGAAGGGAGCTGATGTTTGCCCTACCTGTCCGGGACACATGTGATACAAACCAGTGAGAGGGAAGTGGATATTGGCCCTACCTGTTCAGGACACATGTGATACAGGCCAGTGAGAGGGGAGCTGATATTGGCCCTACCTGTCCAGGCCCGAGGTGATACAGGCAAGTGAGAAGGGAGCTGATATTTGCCCTATGTGTCCGGGACACATGTGATACAAACCAGTGAGAGGGAAGTGGATATTGGCCCTACCTGTTCAGGACACATGTGATACAGGCAAGTGCGAAGGGAGCTGATATTTGCCCTATGTGTCCGGGACACATGTGATACAAACCAGTGAGAGGGAAGTGGATATTGGCCCTACCTGTCCAGGACACAGGTGATACAGGCCAGTGAGAGGGGAGCTGATATTTGCCCTACCTGTCCGGGACACATGTGATACAAACCAGTGAGAAGGGAGCTGATATTGGCCCTACCTGTCCAGGACACAGGTATACAGGCCAGTGAGAAGGGAGCTGATGTTTGCCCTACCTGTCCGGGACACATGTGATACAAACCAGTGAGAGGGAAGTGGATATTGGCCCTACCTGTTCAGGACACAGGTGATACAGGCAAGTGAGAAGGGAGCTGATATTTGCCCTATGTGTCCGGGACACATGTGATACAAACCAGTGAGAGGGAAGTGGATATTGGCCCTACCTGTTCAGGACACAGGTGATACAGGCAAGTGAGAAGGGAGCTGATATTTGCCCTATGTGTCAGGGACACATGTGATACAAACCAGTGAGAGGGAAGTGGATATTGGCCCTACCTGTCCAGGACACAGGTGATACAGGCCAGTGAGAGGGGAGCTGATATTTGCCCTACCTGTCCGGGACACATGTGATACAAACCAGTGAGAAGGGAGCTGATATTGGCCCTACCTGTCCAGGACACAGGTATACAGGCCAGTGAGAAGGGAGCTGATGTTTGCCCTACCTGTCCGGGACACATGTGATACAAACCAGTGAGAGGGAAGTGGATATTGGCCCTACCTGTTCAGGACACAGGTGATACAGGCCAGTGAGAAGGGAGCTGATATTTGCCCTATGTGTCCGGGACACATGTGATACAAACCAGTGAGAGGGAAGTGGATATTGGCCCTACCTGTCCAGGCCACAGGTGATACAGGCAAGTGAGAAGGGAGCTGATATTTGCCCTATGTGTCCGGGACACATGTGATACAAACCAGTGAGAGGGAAGTGGATATTGGCCCTACCTGTCCAGGACACAGGTGATACAGGCCAGTGAGAGGGGAGCTGATATTTGCCCTACCTGTCCGGGACACATGTGATACAAACCAGTGAGAAGGGAGCTGATATTGGCCCTACCTGTCCAGGACACAGGTATACAGGCCAGTGAGAAGGGAGCTGATGTTTGCCCTATGTGTCCGGGACACAGGTGATACAAACCAGTGAGAGGGAAGTGGATATTGGCCCTACCTGTTCAGGACACAGGTGATACAGGCCAGTGAGAAGGGAGCTGATATTTGCCCTATGTGTCCGGGACACATGTGATACAAACCAGTGAGAGGGAAGTGGATATTGGCCCTACCTGTCCAGGCCACAGGTGATACAGGCAAGTGAGAAGGGAGCTGATATTTGCCCTATGTGTCCGGGACACATGTGATACAAACCAGTGAGAGGGAAGTGGATATTGGCCCTACCTGTCCAGGACACAGGTGATACAGGCCAGTGAGAGGGGAGCTGATATTTGCCCTACCTGTCCGGGACACATGTGATACAAACCAGTGAGAAGGGAGCTGATATTGGCCCTACCTGTCCAGGACACAGGTATACAGGCCAGTGAGAAGGGAGCTGATATTACCCTACCTGTCCGGGACACAGGTGATACAGGCCAGTGAGAGGGGAGCTGATATTGCCCTACGTGTCTGGAACACATGTGATACTCGCCAGTGAGAAGGGAGCTGATGTTTGCACTACCTGTCCGGGACACATGTGATACAAACCAGTGAGAAGGGAGCTGATGTTTGCCCTACCTGTCTGGAACACATGTGATACAAACCAGTGAGGGGAGCTGATGTTTGCCCTACCTGTCCGGGACACATGTGATACAAACCAGTGAGAGGGGAGCTGATATTGGCCCTACCTGTCTAGGACACATGTGATACAAACCAGTGAGAGGGGAGCTGATATTGGCCCTACCTGTCTAGGACACATGTGATACAGGCCAGTGAGAGGGGGGGCTGATGTTTGCCCTACCTGTCTGGAACACATGTGATACAAACCAGTGAGAGGGGAGCTGATATTGGCCCTACCTGTCTAGGACACATGTGATACAAACCAGTGAGAGGGGAGCTGATATTGGCCCTATCTGTCTAGGACACATGTGATACAGGCCAGTGAGAGGGGGGCTGATATTTGCCCTACCTGTCCGGGACACAGGTGATACAGTGCCAGCGTGGCAGCCAGATGCTGGGATTCCATGTTGTTTTCACACAAAATCTCAGGCGTCACCGATAACATGCCATCATCTTTCTTCCTATCCACCTTGCATCTGAAACAAAGAACACCCTCAAGGCATAATATCTCATGTTTCTACATCACATGACTTTAAGAGTAAGAGCGAGGTGTGTTGTTTCACTCTACAGCAACACCACAGGTTCTGGTATACCTCCACCCGTGGAAATCAGGGTCAGAATAGGTCTTCAGCAACCAATGTTTGTCGTAAGAGGCGACTATCAGGATTGGGTGGTTAGGTTCACTGACTTGGTTGATGCATGTCATCATATCCAAATTGCATAGATCAATGTGCATAGTGTCCAGACTCGATTATTTTCAGGTTGACGTCATATAGCTGGATTGTTACTGAGTGTGGTTCTAAATAACAAAAAAAACAAAAAAACAAACAAACAAATAGTATTAAATACTTTTACATCAGAGCTATGTTTTCACAAGATGGTGACTTGTGATCTATTTTCCTCTGGAATCTTTTAGCCACTTCAGACAAACATAAACAACTTATTCTACACTAGTACAGCACTGATTTTTTCCTGATGTTTACTCTAGCACACACAGGAAAGAAGTGTTAAGAGCACTGGGCAGTGGAGGACTATTATCCATATGACTGATTATTGATAGCTGACAGTGAAGAGGGCTTCTGTTGAAAATCTAAAGATTTTTAAAGTGAAATGACAACCAAAATTCCGGATTATGGCATATGTAATAGAGGCAGGGTATTTGCAGGAATCGTTCTGTCTCTGACATTACTGTGTTTAATACATACGTGCTCCTCCACTTCTGTTTGTGCTGCTTCTTGTCAAACTTTGGTGGGTCACTCCGTGGCAGGTGTTTGCGCACCCAGTCGATAAGGAACTGTTTGGGAGACTTCCCTGTCCACTGCTGACGAGTGTACTCAAAGTTTCTCACATCCATCTTTACCTCTTTTGCTGCAACTGAAAATGTTTCACAAATTTGCGTATTTCCATCTTTTAATTAAATTCCCTGATAGTGAGTGTCTGGTATACTGTGCTATTGGGCAGAAAGTCAGCTGTATCCAGGCAGTCTTGATTCTGTTGCCTGGTCACAAGAGTCGGCATCGCCTTCATCCAGCCATCAGTGGTCACAAGAGTCGGCATTGCCTTCATCCAGCCATCAGTGGTCACAAGAGTCGGCATCGCCTTCATCCAGCCATCAGTGGTTACAAGAGTCGGCATCGCCTTCATCCAGCCATCAGTGGTCACAAGAGTCTGCATTGCCTTCATCCAGCCATCAGTGGTCACAAGAGTCTGCATCGCCTTCATCCAGCCATCAGTGGTCACAAGAGTCGGCATCGCCTTCATCCAGCCATCAGTGGTCACAAGAGTCGGCATTGCCTTCATCCAGCCATCAGTGGTCACAAGAGTCGGCATTGCCTTCATCCAGCCATCAGTGGTCACAAGAGTCGGCATCGTCTTCATCCAGCCATCAGTGGTCACAAGAGTCGGCATTGCCTTCATCCAGCCATCAGTGGTCACAAGAGTCGGCATCGTCTTCATCCAGCCATCAGTGGTCACAAGAGTCGGCATTGCCTTCATCCAGCCATCAGTGGGCACAAAAGTCGGCATTGCCTTCATCCAGCCATCAGTGGTCACAAGAGTCGGCATTGCCTTCATCCAGCCATCAGTGGTCACAAGAGTCGGCATCGCCTTCATCCAGCCATCAGTGGTCACAAGAGTCGGCATCGCCTTCATCCAGCCATCAGTGGTCACAAGAGTCAGCATTGCCTTCATCCAGCCATCAGTGGTCACAAGAGTCGGCATTGCCTTCATCCAGCCATCAGTGGTCACAAGAGTCGGCATCGCCTTCATCCAGCCATCAGTGGTCACAAGAGTCGGCATCGCCTTCATCCAGCCATCAGTGGTCACAAGAGTCAGCATTGCCTTCATCCAGCCATCAGTGGTCACAAGAGTCGGCATTGCCTTCATCCAGCCATCAGTGGTCACAAGAGTGGGCATCGTCTTCATCCAGCCATCAGTGGTCACAAGAGTCGGCATCGCCTTCATCCAGCCATCAGTGGTCACAAGAGTCGGCATTGCCTTCATCCAGCCATCAGTGGTCACAAGAGTCGGCATCGTCTTCATCCAGCCATCAGTGGTCACAAGAGTCGGCATTGCCTTCATCCAGCCATCAGTGGTCACAAGAGTCGGCATCGTCTTCATCCAGCCATCAGTGGTCACAAGAGTCGGCATCGCCTTCATCCAGCCATCAGTGGTCACAAGAGTCGGCATTGCCTTCATCCAGCCATCAGTGGTCACAAGAGTCGGCATCGTCTTCATCCAGCCATCAGTGGTCACAAGAGTCGGCATCGCCTTCATCCAGCCATCAGTGGTCACAAGAGTCGGCATCGCCTTCATCCAGCCATCAGTGGTCACAAGAGTCGGCATCGCCTTCATCCAGCCATCAGTGGTCACAAGAGTCGGCATCGCCTTCATCCAGCCATCAGTGGTCACAAATTCACATCATGTCCTCAGCACAGCTGGCATGTTTTCTTTAGAGGACAACTAATTAATTTAAAACGTAAAAATATTTGGTTTTCAAAATGCTTGTATGTTTTTTTCAAATGGGCAACCAATCTTTGATTAAATGTAACAGATTTTTGCTATGTCTCCATATTTTTCGTAATGTTTCCCCATTGTGCCATTATGAACATCCTGTATCATACATTTGGGTCAACACACTCCAAGGCTGCAGTTTTGTATAGTGCAACTTTCCCTAGTCTAATGACACAATTCTACCTTTTTTACATGCATAACCTATGACAATATTAATTCATAAATATCCAGCTCTCCTGGGAGGAAATGGGTCCAGTGTTTTGAAAGTTCATATTTCATCTCAATTAATCCAAGATTAGTTGTTGTTCCGAAAAATAATGCAAACATATTGAAATCCAAAAAATCATTATGTTCCAGCATGTTTTGGTCATGGAAAGGATGTCCATCTGCTCTCAGATCTAACAATTCCTTATTTCCATGGTTACTACTCAAGAAGTTACTTTTTTACAGGATGACAGCCCAAAAATAAAGAAATAAATGAACATAAGAACTTTATTATATAAAAGTTGGCTTTGGCATAAATATAATAAACTACACACATTTTGTCCTTACCTTTAACTGGTTTGTCAACAGATGTTGCTTGTTCTTCCATTGCTGCAAACCCTGATAAGTCAAAAGAGTCCCCTTCAGCTGATTGGTTCTTTTCACATCTGCGGGCTGTTGATTGGCTACTCACTGGCCTCATGGAATCTGATGGGTCATTCAGGGTGCTGGTACCTTTTGATTGGTTTGCACCTGATGCCCCTATTTTCTCTTGGTCAATATCTTTTATTTTTACAGCTGGGTTAAATCCAGGTTGAAGTTCAAGAAAATCCATTTCTGAAAATTTCAACATATATTGTGAAAATTCAGTACAAGTACAATTTATGTCCACATGAACAGATACAAATGTTAGAGGAACATGTACACTTGTCTGACCGTGACCTTCCAGTCGAGACTTCAGTCAGTGGATTATCTTATTACTTTTGTTTGTTTGTTGTTTAACACTGCACTCAGCATTATTCCAGCTACATAACAATGGTTTGCAAATACCCAAACCTGGACCAGACAATCCAGTGATTGATATCATGAGCATCCATCTATGCAACTGGGATTACAATGACATGCAAGTCACCAAGCCTGACCACCCGATCCAGTTAGTTATCTCTTTCAGCAAGCATTGTCACCTCTTGCTACAAGCATGGCAAGCTGTGGACCAATTCTAACCCGCATCTTCATGGGTGTTTATCTTTTTACTAAATTATTTATTGGTTATAATAACCATACATTGATAGTTTCCCAAAGGACATGTCTACATCATGATGTACCTTGTCTTATATCCCTGATCTTCTTGGACAGCTCTTTCTGCTGCGTCTTGTTGGCCTCCTGTTTAGCCTGGGCTGCCTGACTCTTGGCATCCAGCAACTTGGCTGTCATAGCAAGGTAGCGCTCATTCTGGAGTAAACATGGTGTGGACTACACTTGACCTGTTCAAGGCCATTAGGGATGAAACATGCTAGCACAACCATAATGACAGTCTTTCATCCATTTTTTAAATGAATATTGGCTGCAATGTGGAATACTAAAGAAAAGACAAAAACCTTTTCTTTAATGCTTCAAAGAGAATTTTTTAAGATTTAACTCAACAGTAGAGAATATATACTCACTGGGTCATCTTCAGTTTCCTCCTGTTCATCCTCCGAGTCATCTGAAAACTCAGCATAGTTCAGAATCCAATCTTTGACTGAGGATTTCTGTTCAGGGGCTGCAGAACTACCAACCTGTTTCTCCTGAACAAAACAAAACACACATTGTAAAGCATGGAATAGTTTTTCTAACTGTTATGACCATAACATTCATTATACCAAGCCAGCCAAGCAGCTAGTGACTGTCATGTGTGTTGACGAGACAAGCAACCAGCGACTGTCATGTGTGTTGACGAGCCAAGCAGCTAGCGACTGTCATGTGTGTTGATGAGCCAAGCAGCTACTGACTGTCATGTGTGTTGGTGTATCAAGCAGCTAGCGACTGTCATGTGTGTTGATGAGCCAAGCAACCAGCGACTGTCGTGTGTGTTGACGAGACAAGCAACCAGCGACTGTCATGTGTGTTGACGAGCCAAGCAGCTAGCGACTGTCATGTGTGTTGATGAGCCAAGCAGCTACTGACTGTCATGTGTGTTGGTGTATCAAGCAGCTAGCGACTGTCATGTGTGTTGGTGTATCAAGCAGCTAGCGACTGTCATGTGTGTTGATGAGCCAAGCAACCAGCGACTGTCGTGTTTTGAGCGACTGCTTGTGTGTTGACGAGCTAAGGGACCAACGACTGTCATGTGTTTTGACAAGCCAAGGAGCTACTGACTGTCATGTGTGTTGGTGTATCAAGCAGCTAGCGACTGCCATGTGTGTTGATGAGCCAAGCAGCTAGTGATTGTCATGTGTGTTCGAGTATCAAGAAGCTAGCGACTATCATATGTGTTGATAAGCCAAGCAGCTAAAGACTGTCATGTGTGTTGATGAGCCAAGCAGCTAGAGACTGTCATGTGTATTGATGAGCCAAGCAGGTACTGACTGTCATGTGTGTTGGTGTATCAAGCAGCTAGCGACTGTCATGTGTGTTGATGAGCCAAGCAACCAGCGACTGTCATGTGTGTTGGTGTATCAAGCAGCTAGCGACTGTCATGTGTGTTGGTGTATCAAGCAGCTAGCGACTGTCATGTGTGTTGACAAGCCAAGCAACCAGCAACTGTCGTGTTTTGAGCGACTGCTTGTGTGTTGACGAGCTCAGCAGCTAGCGACTGCCATGTGTTGACGAGCCAGGCAACCAGCTACTGTCATGTGTCTTGACGAGCCAAGCAGCTACTGACTATCATGTGTGTTGGTGTATCAAGCAGCTAGCGACTGTCATGTGTGTTGATGAGCCAAGCAGCTAGTGATTGTCATGTGTGTTGGTGTATCAAGAAGCTAGCGACTGTCATGTGTGTTGATGAGCCAAGCAACCAGCGACTGTCATGTGTGTTGATGAGCCAAGCAGCTAGCGACTGTCATGTGTGTTGATGAGCCAAGCAGCTACTGACTGTCATGTTTGTTGGTGTATCAAGCAGCTAGCGACTGTCATGTGTTGGTGTATCAAGCAGCTAGCAACTGTCATGTGTGTTGATGAGCCAAGCAACCAGCGACTGTCGTGTGTGTTGATGAGACAAGCAACCAGCGACTGTCATGTGTGTTGACGAGCCAAGCAGCTAGCGACTGTCATGTGTGTTGATGAGCCAAGCAGCTACTGACTGTCATGTGTGTTGGTGTATCAAGCAGCTAGCGACTGTCATGTGTGTTGGTGTATCAAGCAGCTAGCGACTGTCATGTGTGTTGACAACCCAAGCAACCAGCAACTGTCGTGTTTTGAGCGACTGCTTGTGTGTTGACGAGCTCAGCAGCTAGCGACTGCCATGTGTTGACGAGCCAGGCAACCAGCAACTGTCATGTGTCTTGACGAGCCAAGCAGCTACTGACTATCATGTGTGTTGGTGTATCAAGCAGCTAGCGACTGTCATGTGTGTTGATGAGCCAAGCAGCTAGTGATTGTCATGTGTGTTGGTGTATCAAGAAGCTAGCGACTGTCATGTGTGTTGATGAGCCAAGCAACCAGCGACTGTCATGTGTGTTGATGAGCCAAGCAGCTAGCGACTGTCATGTGTGTTGATGAGCCAAGCAGCTAGCGACTGTCATGTTTGTTGGTGTATCAAGCAGCTAGCGACTGTCATGTGTTGGTGTATCAAGCAGCTAGCAACTGTCATGTGTGTTGATGAGCCAAGCAACCAGCTACTGTCATGTGTGTTGACGAGACAAGCAGCTTGTGACCGTCATGTGTGTTGATGAGCCAAGCAGCTAGTGATTGTCATGTGTGTTGATGAGCCAAGCAGCTTGCGACTGCCATGTGTGTTGACGAGCCAAGCAGCTACTGACTGTCATGTGTGTTGGTGTTTCAAGCGGCTTGCGATTCTCAAGTGTGTTGATGAGCCAAGCAACCAGCGACTGTCATGTGTGTTGATGAGCCAAGCAGCTACTGACTGTCATGTGTGTTGGTGTATCAAGCGGCTTGCGATTGTCATGTGTGTTGATGAGCCAAGCAGCTAGCGACTGTCATGTGTGTTGATGAGCCAAGCAGCTACTGACTGTCATGTGTGTTGATGTGCCAAGCAGCCAGCGACTGTCATGTGTGTTGATGAGCCAAGCAACCAGCAACAGTCATGTGTGTTGATGAGCCAAGCAGCTACTGACTGTCATGTGTGTTGGTGTATCAAGCGGCTTGCGATTGTCATGTGTGTTGATGAGCCAAGCAGCTAGTGATTGTCATGTGTGTTGATGAGCCAAACAGCTAGTGACTGTCATGTGTGTTGATGAGCAAAGCAACCAGCGACTGTCTTGTGTGTTGGTGTATCAAGCAACTAGCCACTGTCATGTGTGTTGATGACCAAAGCAGGTAGTGATTGTCATGTGTGTTGATGAGCCAAGCAGCTAGTGATTGTCATGTGTGTTGATGAGCCAAGCAGCTACTGACTGTCATGTGTGTTGGTGTATCAAACGGCTTGCGACTGTCATGTGTGTTGATGTATCAAGCAACCAGCGACTGTCATGTGTGTTGATGAGCGAAGCAGCTACTGACTGTCATGTGTGTTGGTGTATCAAGCGGCTTGCGATTGTCATGTTTGTTGATGAGCCAAGCAGATTGCAACTGTCACGTGTGTTGATGAGCCAAGCAGCTAGTGATTGTCATGTGTGTTGATGAGCCAAGCAGCTAGTGATTGTCATGTGTGTTGATGAGCCAAGCAGCTAGTGATTGTCATGTGTGTTGATGAGCCAAGCAACCAGCGACTGTCATGTGTGTTGATGAGCCAAGCAACCAGCGACTGTCATGTGTGTTGGTGTATCAAGCAGCTATTGACTGTCATGTGTGTTGATGAGCCAAGCAGCCAATGACTGTCATGTGAGTTGACGAGCCAAGCAACCAGCGACTGTCTTGTGTGTTGGTGTATCAAGCAGCCAGCGACTGTCATGTGTATTGATGAGCCAAGCAGCTAGTGATTGTCATGTGTGTTGTCGAGCGTAGCAGCTGGCGACTGTCATGTGTGTTGATGAGCGAAGCAGCTAGCGACTCTCATGTGTGTTGTCGAGCCAAGCAGCTTGCGACTGTCATGTGTGTTGACAAGCCAAGCAGCTAGCGACTGTCATGTGTGTTGACGAGCCAAGCAACCAGCGACTGTCATGTGTGTTGATGAGCCAAGCAGCTACTGACTGTTATGTGTGTTGGTGTATCAAGCAGATTGCGACTGTCATGTGTGATGGTGTATCAAGCAGCTACTGACTGTCATGTGTGTTGATGAGCCAAGCAACCAGCAACTGTCATGTGTTGATGAGCCAAGCAACCAGCGACTGCCATGTGTGTTGATGAGCCAAGCAGACAGCGACTGTCACGTGTGTTTACGAGATAAGCAACCAGCGACTGCCATGTGTGTTGATGAGCCAAGCAACCAGCAACTGTCATGTGTGTTGATGAGCCAAGCAGCTACTGACTGTCATGTGTGATGGTGTATCAAGCGGCTTGCGATTCTCAAGTGTGTTGATGAGCCAAGCAACCAGCAACTGTCATGTGTGTTGATGAGCCAAGCAGCTACTGACTGTCATGTGTGTTGGTGTATCAAGCGGCTTGCGATTGTCATGTGTGTTGATGAGCCAAGCAGCTAGCGACTGTCATGTGTGTTGATGAGCCAAGCAGCTACTGACTGTCATGTGTGTTGATGAGCCAAGCAACCAGCAACAGTCATGTGTGTTGATGAGCCAAGCAGCTACTGACTGTCATGTGTGTTGGTGTATCAAGCGGCTTGCGATTGTCATGTGTGTTGATGAGCCAAGCAGCTAGTGATTGCCATGTGTGTTGATGAGCCAAACAGCTAGTGACTGTCATGTGTGTTGATGAGCAAAGCAACCAGCGACTGTCTTGTGTGTTGGTGTATCAAGCAGCTAGCCACTGTCATGTGTGTTGATGACCAAAGCAGGTAGTGATTGTCATGTGTGTTGATGAGCCAAGCAGCTAGTGATTGTCATGTGTGTTGATGAGCCAAGCAGCTACTGACTGTCATGTGTGTTGGTGTATCAAACGGCTTGCGATTGTCATGTGTGTTGATGAGCCAAGCAGATTGCAACTGTCATGTGTGTTGATGAGCCAAGCAGCTACTGACTGTCATGTGTGTTGGTGTATCAAGCGGCTTGCGATTGTCATGTGTGTTGATGAGCCAAGCAGCTAGCGACTGTCATGTGTGTTGATGAGCCAAGCAGCTACTGACTGTCATGTGTGTTGATGTGCCAAGCAGCCAGCGACTGTCATGTGTGTTGATGAGCCAAGCAACCAGCAACAGTCATGTGTGTTGATGAGCCAAGCAGCTACTGACTGTCATGTGTGTTGGTGTATCAAGCGGCTTGCGATTGTCATGTGTGTTGATGAGCCAAGCAGCTAGTGATTGTCATGTGTGTTGATGAGCCAAACAGCTAGTGACTGTCATGTGTGTTGATGAGCAAAGCAACCAGCGACTGTCTTGTGTGTTGGTGTATCAAGCAACTAGCCACTGTCATGTGTGTTGATGACCAAAGCAGGTAGTGATTGTCATGTGTGTTGATGAGCCAAGCAGCTAGTGATTGTCATGTGTGTTGATGAGCCAAGCAGCTACTGACTGTCATGTGTGTTGGTGTATCAAACGGCTTGCGACTGTCATGTGTGTTGATGTATCAAGCAACCA